TTCCTGCTCTTGGCTTGGAACCATCTCTGGCCAGATCCACGTGGGAATCAGTTTCTTACAAGCTTATACAATGTCCCTTCCGATCTGAGAGCCCTTTTGAGGAGAGGGAAGGTGTGTTCACACGCTGCTTGTTTGGGAACAGGTAGTGGGAGCAGCATGGCCAGTGTACGGGATGGATACTACAGCCTTGCTCTAGAGTGGAACTTGTAACGAGCTTGCAGAGCTGCACTGTTGTGTTCCACAGGAACTGGGCGCATGTTTCAGTGTCACTAAGCGAACCCCTTACCTGATGTGCTTTTATTGTCAGCCTGGAATGCTGCTACTGGTTACCCAAACGCTGCTGGGGATCACACTAGTGCAGGTCTGAAGCCTTCCCCAAGTTGGCGGCTTCAGCATTCCCTGTTCTTGGCTGTTCAGCTGTGGGAGTCCCGGCCTGGTGCCGTAAGACAGAACCCACCTAAAGCTTTCATTTAAAGGTAACCCCCACCCACAAGGCCCGGGCAGGACAGTTTGAGTGGAGGGAGGGTGGAGAGGAGAACATGGCCCTGTGCATTTGTACTAACAACTGGTAACTCAGCTGGGGGCTCTCCAGCAGTGCAGCTGCTTCCCGCTGCTGAGGGTCTCTCTTCCACATCTGGATTAGAATAGATTCAGAGGAAGAAAAAGCGACACGCACATGACAAAGAAGAAGTCTAGTATTTATTATCCAACATTCCAAGTGTTTATTACCCAACATTCCAGAACAAAGACACTCTCCTTAAAGTGCTTTTTAAAATGTTTTGTGAGCAACTTGTACATGGGCTGCTCCCTGTGTCCTTTTCAGACTAGTGCTGGGTTTGCTTGAAAAGGAAAACATTCACACTCGAGAGCCTTCGCGTAGGGGAAGTATTCCTGGGAATCATCCACACCAGACTGACTCGATTCCAGCTACAGCGAGCAGCTTCTCAGCACATCTTTCTCCACGGTGTGTAGAGAACTCATGTTTACAGCAGCTCAGGCTTCTGTTCACACTCGCTGTCTACACCACGGCCGTGCCAACAGGGTTTGGAGTGTGTAAGACAGTTGTTGTGGTAGAAGAGATGCTGGATGATGCCGCGGTGGTACGTTACTTACAGTTCCTTGTAGGGGCTACGGGAGCGATAGTGGGGCAGCTGAGCAGGGTCTGAAAGCAAGGCTGGACACATCTTTACGTCAGGGCTCAGTCTTGCTGAACTCGGAATGTTTCGTAGTCTTCTGGGATGGTGTCTGAGGAGGAGGAGATTAAAGCAAATACAGATTAGAAGTAGAACCAGAAGTGAAAAATAGACTAAGGTGCTGTGGGCCATCGCGCTGCGGGTGTAGGTGCAGGTTGTCCCAGAGCAAATGAATGTCTTGGAAGTAAAATGGCAAAAATTCCTGTACTGGCTTCCTCGAACTCACCGTTGCAGCGGTAACGCAGGTTCGACCAAATGATGTTCTCTTGGGAGAAGCAGAAGACTCCCAGGCGGCCTCCTCGCATGGTTGTGTCAAGGACAACTCCCGTGTCTGCTACTACTTCAGGTCCTTCATAGAAACGGGCTCTAGGAGAGAAGAAGCGTGTGCAGGACACGAACATGAGACTGATGCACCCACACAGGAACTGTTCCTCAGTCAGACGCTCCCTCTTCCCCTCCGCCCTGCACTAGAGGTGCTGCTCCTGTGTGTTAAACTGCTGCTCAGGCGTGCAGAGGAAGCTGTAAAGCCCCACCTGATGTATCCGACCTGAGGCCGGTGCTGCAGGAACCAGCGGTAGGAGGTCTTGTCCTTCCAGCCGGAGTTGCGAGGGTCCTTCCACAGCAGCTTGACCTGGTCTGTGGTGTCTCCCGTGTGCCAGAGGGAATTGCGGAGATACTCCCCTGGGCCTGTTTTAGACTTCACTGCCTGCGGCAGAGAAGAGACTGGTGAGATGTGGGGATAAAGGACTGATTGACTGGAGCTGTGTGTGTCCAAGCAGCACAGCTAAGAAAAAGGCCACAAATCCACTAGGGAATTCTCTTTCAATGGCTGCTTTACCTTCAGTTGAATTCCAGGTTCTGCTACTGCTCGGAAGGGGTTTGCCTGCCAGTACGTCTGTTCCATCTGCTTCCACATGACCACATAAAAGCTGGAACTGTCCTGGTAGCCAAATATGAAACCAGCATAATCGTCATCTGTGGCAGTGTTGACATGGAACGTGCCCTCAAAGTCCACCCCGTTGAATGCCGTGTAGCCTGGAAGGGGTAAGAAAACAAAGATTCTGTGTTCTAAGACAAAATGTAGATCCATTTGATCCCAGATCCGGATGGGGGAGGGGGATTTTGCTGAGCCAGATCTGAAGCCTCTGCTCCTGCAGAAAGTATTTCCCCAGGAGGTGGATGAGGCATTAGGTACTTGTAAAGCTGCCCTAGGAACAGGCAGCTACTGAGTGGTAACTTTCCCAATAGGACAAAAGGAAGAGCCTCACCTACGGCCAGGCCGGGATCACTGTTCATGGTCTGGACAATTTCCATGCCCTGAAAGAGAGGAATGTTGTCTCATTAGAACAGTTTCAAATGTACCAGCTTGACCCTGGTTCAGTGCTCAGAGCAAAGATACCCCCCGGGCAAGGCTCCAGGATTAGGATGTGAAGCCTGCAGAGTCTTCTAAGGAAAACTGTACCCAGTTTGGTACAGGCCTGTGTCACACACCCCACCCCCCATCCCCCAGCCTGTTCTGGAGCAGTGTCTACCTGGTTGAGGACAATCCAGTTGGGGTCAATCTGTGCATCACCCTCAGGGTCCAATACAACCGTCTGGAAAGCCCTGAAGTCTGTTAGTGTCACCTCTGCGTTCTCTGGGCACACGTCAATCCTGTCGATCACCATGTCTCTGTCAAAGTCATCTTCACAGAGGTTTCCCACACCATCACCTGAGGGCACGAGAGAAGAAAAGGAGTAAGAAGCTTTCATTAATCTCTCCTACCCCTTACACCCGAGTTTTACTCCGATAGCTGTTGGATAGTGCAGTTTAAGGTGCCCATGTGCAAGGTCAAGAGGTGTTCAGAGCACTGGTACACTTTAAGTCAGTTGCAAAGAAACCCTGAGGCTTCTCTTGCTTGCAGAGATGCTGTGAGCAGAAGACACCTCAAATTGTTGTCACTTCTGGAAGAGAACTTGTTCCAGATATGATCCTGATGTCAGTGTTTTGGGTGATCTGAAAAGGACATAGGACTGTCCCAAGTCAGTGCTGAGAAGATCTTAATTCCTGGCTATCTCTAGAGACCAAACTGACAGGCACTGGCCACCAGGAACAGAAGGCCCCAAGCAGAGCTTAAGTGCATCCATCTCCCTTACCATCCGAGTCTTCTTGGCCAGGGTTAGGGACAAGCCGACAGTTGTCAGGGCCTGGAGGTTTCTCATCTGGAATCCCATCATCATCATCATCATCATCACATTCATCTCCCAGCCCATCATTGTCTGTGTCCACCTGGGAGCTGTTGGGCACTGATGGGCAGTTATCCCGTGTGTCTTGGTGGCCATCCCCATCGCTGGTGGAGAAAATCACAGGGAAAGATTATGTGTTTTAAAAGATGCTTTTAAGAGAAGCAGGTACCACCTTTGTAGGAGCTGGGGTCCTCAACAAGAACAGCACAAGTCGGTGAGTTTAGCCTTAAGCTGTTAGTTACACCAACAACAGAGCAGAAATACTCCTGCTGGAGTGGCTGAACAGGTCTGTGGGTGGTAGGTAATGACGAGCAGGCCAGCACGGGCCATGCTTCCACGGACATGTTCTTTTGAGGAGTGAAGAGAACTCCACCTCCCTTAACTTCTGTCTTTTTCTTGGGTAAGGCCAAGCCAGGCTCTCAGAGAGTTGCGTTTTTCTCCCTCCATCCCCAAGATTTCCTGCAACCCCAGTATAATTGCAGCAAGCTCTCACCTGTCCTGGTTGGTGTCGCAGACATCTCCCACCAGATCGTGGTCGGTATCTTTCTAGTAAAATAAAGCAATAATAATTGAAACTCTCCCTAGATCAAGAGGTGGATTAGGCAATAAAGAGACCAAGAGAGGGGTCAGCTCAGTGCCATGGCTGTTCCGACTGAGAACAGGACTGACATCAGTGGGAGAGTTCCTCCTGCAGGATTTACACGTGGCCCTGATGGATTCCAGCAGTGCTCTTTCTAAGCACAGATGAGCGGGGCAGGAAGAGGGGAGGCCGGAGCGCAGCGGTTCCCCGCTGACCTCCTCTTCCACACACCAGGACCTTTGGTCTCGAGGGGCTGCACTCTCGTACTGTGGCATTTGCACGTGGTGCTCGGTGGGTTCCCAGGGTTGTGCACCTCAGGCAGGTGGCACCAGCACGGTTGTAGGACTGCAGAAGGGGGAGTGCTTCCTTACCTGGTCTGGGTTACTGACTGTGGGGCAGCTGTCACACAGGTCTCCTACTCCATCGCCGTCGGTATCTTTCTGATCAGGGTTAGGAACTCTTCTACAGTTGTCCACTGCGTTTTTGATCCCTGTAAAACATCCAAAGTGGTCCCATCAAGGCAACAGGCCTATTAAGCTCTATGCAGCAAGATCTCTTTTGGATGTAAGAGCAAAAACTGAGGGCAGTTGAAGTCAGGTAATAAAGCAACTATTTACATTTGTATCTACACTTCACACAGTTTCAGTTACATCCCAGCAGCTCTGGAGGATGAAGAGATCAGCAGCAACTGATCTTGAAACACTCCAAGCTGCATTGTGCTGGATGTCTGAGCATGTTGCTGCACATGAACCTGAGAGGAAATGTCCCAAACTATGTTCCTTAGAGGAAGCTAAAGGACTGAAGAATGTGGCTCCAAACTGGCATCACATCTGTACAGGAGTGAGGAGCCAAGAGGATGAAGATGAAGCTGTCTCTGGTCCCCTAAACCATGACAGAGGCTTTCCCTCTAAAGCACACATCTGTGTAATTAGAAAATAAGTCAAGGTTAATCTCGGCCCTTTGACCTGGAAGGTTTAGATGGGGCCTTTTCAAGGCAGGAACAATCTAATTGCAACCTGCATGACTTGATTTCCCACTTCTCTGCATCTACCTACTAGAGCAGCAGATCATGCCAACAGGGTGCAGCCAGACCCAAACAGCACTAGATACAGAAATACTCTGTAAGTAAGAACGTGTGTCCCCGGCCAGGGCAGTTGTGATTTCTGGCTTTTGAAAGCAGGCTTTGTGCAGATACAGCAGCATCAGTGCACACACTGTTTCTAAAGTAATTTGATGTTTTTTCACCCCGACACAGGTTTGATGTGGTTGTGCACGATAAGAGTGCTAATAAAAAGTTGTTAGCACCATCCTGATGAGAGATATTTAAACCCTGTGAGAGCTGAACTGTGAAGGATGTTGGCTTGACTTGGCAGCTAAAAAACTGAGCTGTGCTTCATCCTCCCAGAAGTTAGTTCTGCTCCTGTAGAGCTCAAGCCTCTGAAGGCTGGCACTTGCCCTGAGGCTCCCCAGCTGTGTGCTGCACAGCTTTCTGGGCCTTAGATCAGTATATGTGCACCTCTCTGAGGGTGCTCTCCTGCTGCTCTTACCATCTCCATCCATGTCATCGTCGCACTCGTCTCCCTTCCCATCCCCATCAATGTCCTTCTGGTCGTTGTTCTTCACCTGGCGGCAGTTGTCGCAGGCGTCACCGAAGTTGTCCTTGTCCGCGTTGCGCTGGTCGGCGTTGCGCGTGTACACGCAGTTGTCCTGCGGGAGACAGGGCCGGGCTGGAGGGCTACATGTGGCTCTGAGCGTGCCACTGAGGAGTAAGGGGGACACTTGGCCAAGGGAGAGAGAGAGAGAAGTGAAGACAATTGCTTTGCAAGACCTCTGGGTACATTTAGGTATGGCAGAACTTAAGCATTAGAGTTCAAACCTCAGCATTTAATATCCCATCTCCATCAGCATCATCATCACAAGCATCTCCAATTCCATCCCTGTCTGCATCCTCTTGGCCGGAGTTGGGGACAGTCATGCAGTTATCCTGCAAGGAAAGCAACAAAGGGCTTGTCAGGAACCCGAGCTCTGACGGAGGGGCAGGGTCTCACATCAGAACTGCCTGTTCTGATCACTTCAGAACGTCCTGTTACCAGCTGGACCAGACAACTGCATCTTACCTTGCGGCACTTTTTGTCTGAGCAGCGTTGCTTCTCATCAGGGACCCCATCAATGTCCGTGTCCTTCCCGCACACGTAGCCGTTCCCTGCCCACCCCACGAGGCACTGGAAGACAGCACATGAGCAAAATGAGGCTGGCAGCGAGTCCCCTGATGGCCGTATGCCTCCGAAATGGAAGGCTTCACATGAGAACCAGCATGAAACACTGCAAATCCAGGTACACAGTGCTTCTACGGGGAAAATACTGCCTGGAATAAGCATTCATGCTGTAAACAGCATTTTACATAGCTCAGATACAAGCTCTCAGCTTGTTCTTGAGGTTATAAAGACAGATGCAGCAGCATCTTGGCTCCTGCAGGTTGCTGCAGGGTGCTTCTCCCTGCTCAGCTGCGTGTAAAGTTCCATGAGCGACAAATTCGAGGCACTTCAGGCAAAGGCAAAACCCAAACCCCAAACACACAAAAGCGGATCTGAGGTGCCAGGAGCAGCCCACGTCTCCAGGGAGCACTGGAAGCAACGCTGCAGCAGCTCAGGTGTTAAAGGAGAGCAGGTCAGTGTGGGGAAGGCTCTCCAGGAGAGGGCAGTGGCAGAGCAAGCCCAGCGCAAGGGAAGGCGGAGCGAGCGGCGCTGCTCGGGGGAGGTTTGAATCTCACCGCGCAGGAGAGGGACCCGTCGCGCTCCACGATGCATTCTGCTTTCTCGTGGCACGGGCTGATCTCTCCATTAGGGCAGCGTCTCACTGACTGGCTCTTGCAGCCACTCACTTGGTCCCCAACAAAACCAGGTTTACAAGCCCCGCACTTGTAGGATCCCTGCAAAGAAGAGCAATAAGGAGTTAACAGTCACACAAGTCCTGGCAAACCTTTGCTGTAACCTTCCTCAGCAGCTGGTTTCCACAGCTAACAGAGGCCCCAGAGCCTGGGGAAGAGACCCACATGAGGCTTTCAGCAGTACTGACCCGCGTGTTGATGCAGATGGAGTTGGGGACACAGTTTCTGGCAGCACCTGTCTCACACTCATTGATGTCAGTACAAACCTGCCCAGGAAGAACAAAATAGACTTTCACTTCACTCTTGAGCAGATCCCACATCAGATTACAGAATCAGAGCATCACTAGGTGCAGAAGCAAAGCCCCTGACACACCTTCCTAGGACCCACAGCTCAAAGTTTTCCTTCAAACTGGAGGCAGATCCCAGCAATACTCCTGACCCCAGGCGAGCTGCTCACCCTCTCCAGTCACCAGAGATTTTAGCCTGGCAAAACAGCTTAGCTCTGAGCTGAGCTGGCAGAGTATCTCCTTACCGCAAAAGGATAGAAGCGGGTCAATGGAACAAGAAGGTCAAAGACTGCATCCTGTGACCAGCTAGCTGCTCTCTAAATAACTGCTTATAAACCATGAAGCTAGGCCTTTTGTTGCTGTTTTTACTTCAACCTGTCTACAGCTGTTGGGGAAGCAGAGGGGGAGTAGCTGCATGAGCTCTTCTGGGTCCTAGCATGAAGGATTCCCCAGGCTGGCTTCGCAGTCCCGGAGGTGTCAGACACAGAACACTCTGTCCAGCATACACTGAGCACAAGTAAGGTCTTGGAGTGGAGGTTGCTTCACTGCTGCTGTGCCAGGACATCCTTGGCAAGTGTCTCCTCTCACTGCATCACTTTCCACCAACACAATGCAGCCACCTTGCACGTCCCTCCCATTTCTTTGAAGGCTCCAAGACTTTTGAATTACAGTTACAGAGAGGAAAGAGTTAATGGCTTCTGAAGGAGACAGAAACGTTTCTGGACCTTACCTGTTTGTTGGCTCTGGCATAGGCCAGTCCAACCCCTTCGACCATCTGGCCGGTGAAGCCGGGAGGGCAGGGATCACAGCGGAAGCCAGGGCTGGTGTTAATGCACTGGACCTTCGGGAAGCAGGGGTTTGCATTGCACTGCAAACAAGAGAGGTGGTGCAGAGCTGTGAGGCAGGCGCACAGCTCTCCCTCAAGAGCCAGCTGTGAAGCCAGCTCTCAAAACAGGCCTCGCTGGCTGAGAGCCACCTATTGTACTTTGCTTTTTAAAGAATAAACCAAAAATGCATAGAGGATCCTGGCTTTCCTTGCAAGTGGAAAATGCAACTTCCCCAGCTCAGTTGTTCTCCCAAGTTCCAGTAATGTGCAGACAAGTAAAACAAATCAACTTTTAGGACTAATTCTTCTTTGGTGACATCAATTGCCCAGGCAAAGGGCTGGCTTCACTTCACACTTTCCTTCCTGGCAGTCTCTGAATCCAGAGAACTGGATCATTTCTTACACTGGTTTTGACAGACAAGAACAGTTGTTTGTTTACTACCCTGGGAAGCAATTGTCTTCCAAAATTGCTATTAATGCTTCGTTTTCTCCAACACTTTATTATTTTCACTGAATTCTTGTGCTCTGCACTGGCAGACACATCACATTAACAGAGTGGTTCCCACGTTTTTGTGACCGACAGATTATCATCACTCTCAAAATCTCTCATTGACCCTTTTCAGCAGGTTTTTGAGCTGAACCACTGTAAAGGTGATATGGCTTTGCAAGACACTTGCAGATGCTTGGTGGCCTGATCGGAGAGCATAGGACTGGGGTTTGGGAACCACAGAACTAAGGAGTCTTATGGACATGCAAAATTAACGGTTGAGTGAAGCTCTGCACAGACATGGAGAGAAAACTTGATGGAATCCCTCACTTCCTAAGAAAACCAAACAGTATCTGCCCAGCAAGGTTTGATTTAAAGGCAGAAGTACAGCGTTAAGAGTAGTGTGGTAAGATTTATTGTATAAAGACTATTTGGGAAGCGCTTGATTCTATTCCACACATAATAAATCTTATCTCTAACAACTCATCAGCCATTAGCTCAAAAGATCTTAAGACTGAAAGAGACTGTTCTGGGCTTCCAAACTCACCTTCCTGTGTGGTACAAACCAAAAGATTTATTTTGTTGGAGCTTATGTATCTTTTAGAAAGAAATCCCTAGCTGGATATAAACCCACCACGGAACAGAGCTCAAGGGAGGGTGAGATACAGCCTTCCTTCCCATGAAATGATGTTTCTGTTGAACTGCAGCTCCGAGGGGATTTGCAAGACTTTTCTCTATAACCACAAAACAAACCTGCAACACTCCAAGCCAAGTGAGTCAGGTTTGTACCCTCCAGCCAGTCCCACTTGGGGTTTTTACCTCATTGATGTCTGTGCAGTGGGTGCCGTTGCCTGAATAACCGGGGGGACAGGGTCCGCAGCGGAAGCCGGTGCCGGTCTCGGTGCAGGCCACGCCAGGGAAGCAGGAGTTTGGGAGGCATCTGTTAAACTGTGTCACGGTGATGACAGGGCCTGTGGCCTCGGTGTGCATGCCTGGAGGACAAGAGGAATGTTGGAACAGAGCTGTCACTGCCAGGGACTAGCATCAGGTGGTCCCGCTGTCCCAGAAGGGGTCAGTGTACTTCACACACAGGACGTTTCCTCACATCCTTTCTGAGGTCAAAGAGTTGTAGCTGTTTTGTAAATGGAAAAAAATGAAGCCAGAAGCAGCAGTCTGACAAATCCTGAGTCAGAGCAGACAGAAAATAAATAAGAAACCCCAAAAGCCTTAGCTCCAGTCAAATCTCTTGTTGTTGGTGTAATGCCCTTGCTTTGGAGTTCCACAGAGATCAGTTCTCTCCTTGGTTCCTTCATAACTACACCTCGCTGGTGCTATGGACTCAGGCACCTGGCTAAAGCAGAACCCACACAGGCTTAAGTCTGGGAAGCACTGTGGAGGGCTGTCAGCCAAAATCTCTGCTGTAGAAGCAGGCATGTTACACAGGTCAGCTTGGTCTGTAGCAGGAAAATACTCACATCAGGCTCTGTGCCATAATGTTATGTGTAACATGCTACCTGTTGTCTCCACAGGGCAAGAAACCTCCCTTCATCCTGGCAGATGGGAAATCAATCTGTTATTCAGCCATTCATCACTTCTGGGCTGGAATACAGCAATATGGTCCATCTAAGCATGACGTACTGTGTGTGACGCGTAGGAAATTCTAACCCATACAAATGCTCCTGCAGTCCTGTTCTGAAGCACTGTGAACGAATCCAGCCTGTGCCCACACTGCTCACACCAGCTTCCCTTAAAGTTTGAGGCCAAATGCCAGGTTTTTGTCTCTATCCTCATGACCTGCCCCACAGCACTAGAGAAGTTGCAGAATCAGTCCGGATGGGACACAGAACTTCACTGAAGGCCAGTTCAGGACTGTGAATAAACTGTCCAGAGCTGTCACAAGTCTCCCACAGCCACTACTCTAAGTGGTAGCAGGACACCTTTTGCTCCCACTTTTCTCCAGCTTAAAAGCCTAACAAGAAAAACCTGAAACAAAACAGAACAAAAGCCAACACTCCACCACTGCCAGCAGCAAAATCTTCACTAAACCCAAGGCTTCCTCTCTTCATGTTTCTCTTTCTGAGCAATAATGAGAAGCACACGACTGCTGGGAGTCACGTTGTTCAATGCATGACTAAAAGAGGCTCAAATTCTACAGCTAGGAGTACAGGAGAACACATATAAAACAGACTAGCAAGTGGGGAAGGCAGAAATCAAGTAACAGAGAAAGTTCAGGACAGTTTTATGAGCAAATTATGAAAACAATTGCTGTGGATGAATGCAGTTCTGTGCTGCAGGGCCCAGGAGCTTTGGCTAATCTCTTTTCCAGCAGAAGGACAATCTCTCCAAACGCAGACATGGTCATTGCTGCACCCTTTGAGTGTACTGGCAAATAACAGAGCATCTCCAAGAACCATGCATTCTGCAAGCCAGATGTACTGGAAGTAAGTTCCAGTTTAGAAATAAAACCCAACAACATTTACTGGGGAGCAGAGGACAAGATTTATATGGGGAAAAAATATGACCCTTGTTCCCAAACTCTCTCCATAAACAACCTCTTTGCTTGGATGGTGGCAGCACTAGGATGGAAGGAATAGCAAAGCAGTACCTCTTGGGGGTGATGTTCTCTTCCACTTGCAGCTGTATCCCACAGGATACCCAGTGTGCATTCCCAGGCAATTCAAACATGGGCCATGGGCTGGGTTCTGAGGAGACGGGGTTGGGCAGCTTTCTGCACCAGCATGTAGCTACCCTGAGAAGTCCAGCGTGGTGTGTCACAAAGCCACCAACAAAGCTGATTTCAGAACAGTGCAAGTAAGCAAATGCTGGGGGGTTGCTGGAAGGAAAGAGCAGCTTTTTAAGGCTACTGCTGCTCAGGGAAGGGGCAATAGCTTCATCTGCCATGGAACACGAGGGCAGCATGTAACAGTGGTCCATGTTGTGGGGGGAAAAAGCATCACTAAAATGAGTGTTACCCTGTGACACTCAGGTAATTGTGAAACAAGCCATTTCCTTTGGGGACACGGTCACAGGTAGCTTTTTAGTACTTGCTTGCACACAAAGGTATGAAGGACTTGGAGGAGATAGCTTAACATAGGACTCAGCTTACTAACTCACCACAGGCATCACACTCCATGACTGTATTCTTCAGGAATGTTATCTCCTTAATCTAGAACAAAACAAGAACCATCACTTAGCCAAAGGGTGAGTTTTGCTCCCACAGAAACTAGTAAGCCCCACTGTCAAACCCAGGGTGTCTCTGAGACTGAACAGCTCCTGACAAAGGAACTCTTACCCAAAGTCTATGGTGCAGACTTTCTGGAACCTGAGGTGGCTTGTGCTCCCTGCTGCAAGTCACTCCCTGCTCCAGTGCTTCTCCAGGCTAACTTGGTAATACTATTCTGTCACAGAATAGTAGGAGACTTGACTTGAATACACACAGGAGACACTTGACTTGAATACACACAAACAAGTGTCATAGAGGAAGGGAAATCTACTTTATTAGGGTCTTCTACTCTAAAAGATGGTGAACTAGAGTCCAAGAGTGGTCTGCTTGATCTGCAGCCCAGACTCTGTGTAAGGAAAGCTCAGAGGGAGGCTCCCATGAGCCATTTTTGCAGATATCGGAACAATCGCTGACATTGCTTATGCCATTCTTTGTCCTGAATGCCCCTGCCATGAGGATGTTTAGAATCTGTTCATGAAAGCTCCTCCCTCCAGACTTCCTCACCTGGGACGTGGAGAGGCAGAATAAGTATGTCAGTCCCAAGCTAAAGGTTACAGATTCTCCAGCACCTTAGAGAGCAATCCCAGCAGACTTCTCTCCTGCGAAGCCTCGCTGACTGCCTGCAACCGATGCTCAGGACCAACCTTTCACACCCTGTAGACATCATTTCACTTTGACAAAAGCTCACGTCTCTGCCAGCTCCCAGGTGTAAGAGCAAGTGTCATCCTACGTTAGATGCTCTCTTCCCTCCAACACAGCCTGGGGTCCTGTATTTTGAATAGTTAATGCAGAGAGAGATCTAACCCAAATTCCCAGAACATCTCCCATTAGAGGAGGGTGACAGAGCAGAGTGGAGGATTCGGAGCACTGCTAAGGAGTATCAGTGGCTCCTTTGTGCCAAAAATACTTCAGCTTTTGGCTCAGGAGCGTAGATCTGACCTTTCATTGTTAGGCCTCTTGCCATCCTTATTGCCAACATCCCAAAATGCTGAATCAAGGAAAAGTAAGCTATAGAAAAATCTTTGCACAGATTAAGCGATGATGAACTGCCCCCTTGGCTCTCCAGTTGTATTTGCAGGTTTTGCTTGTGAAGTTTTCTTGAAAGTACTGTTGAGAAAAGCCATGGATGAAAAAACCCCAAGTAGGTGGCAGAGTGAGAGAAAGAACAAATAGAAAACCTGTATGGAAAGCAGGGCTGAGCTGGAAGGGAACACTGGAAATCATTGCCTGAGGCTGCCAGGAACCATGTCTGACCTGGTTCCTAGTAAACACTGGCTATTTATGCAGCAGCCTGAGATGTGAGGGGAGCTCAATGCAACAGATGGTTTTGCAGATCAGAGGCCGCCCAGTTTGCACTGGCACAGGGGCCTGTCTGCCATTCCAGTCCTCTGGCAGGCAGAGGCTGCTGCCCTCAGCTCCCACAGTGGGGAAAGGGAGAATGGAACCTTTTTCTATGCTTAAAAGGGAGTTGACCAGACAAACCACCATCTCCTCGCTAAAATGGGAAAAGATCTAAGCACCTAAGAAGTTCCAAATTCCCTAAGAAACTGCCAGAGCCAGAAAACCTTAGGATTAAAAC